TAATATCCACTAAAGCAAAGCTTAAGTATATAACACCAACACCATCCACCTCGCCTACGGCCGGGATATTAGGCCGCAATCCTTCTTCGGCAACCACCTCGCCACCGGAAACCAATTTGGAGCTCAGCGACCGGCCACCAAGGAGTAGCTCTGCCCAAGGGCCGAGCACGGCCATCCCCCCGCCCCAAACGGTGAACCAGGGCCCCTGTCCTACCGGAGCACTATCTCTTCAAGATGCAGTATCTGGCACCTCCACCACAAATCCGGGCCAATAGGGACTGATGTTGGAGTCCTTTCTGGACAAACAGAATGGGACTGTGTCTCGCTCCGAGGAGATCAGGTTCAAGGTAAGTTTTCCTGAGCCCACTATTACTTCTCTATCCGAGTAGTTTGATAATGCACTCATTTTGAAGTTTTCCTTCAGGTCCCTTCCCTCCGGGATTTATCAGTCGGTCTGGAGAAATTAAGTTTCAAGGGTAGAGTAACTCTTAAGTTTCTTAACTATGACCATTATTTACTCTTTTTTGAGATGAAAGAGGACTACAATGATGTCTGGATTAAGACGTATCTTATTATCTTCAGATGTTCTGGTCGGGTGTTCAAATACACCTATGATTTCTCTTTTCTTGAGGAATATCTCATTCACTCGGTGTGGTGCTGCCTCTCAGGCCTCCTACCACACCTTTTCGATCCTTTTGCCCTCTTCTCGATTGCCAGCTGCATTGACAATCCTATTGAGACTGACGTCACTACGGCGAACAGTTTGAGATTATCTATTGCACATGTGTGCGTGGAGATTGATCTCAAGGACGAGCTCATCAAGGAGATTGAGCTCGACCAAGCGGGCAAGACCGATATCCAAAAAGTGGTCTATGAGAGAGTTCATCCGTTCTGCACCCTATGCAATCATGTAGGACATGGGGCCGCAGAATGCTACACTAAGGGCAACAAGCCCCGACCTGCTCTGCCCCCTCACCGCCGCGTAGCGAGGCATTGTCCTACTGCCACCCCAGAGATCCCTAAGGAGAAGGGCAAGGCCCCTGCCCACAGCCCCGATTCCCTGAAGGGACAAAAGGGCAAGGGCAAGGTCACTTCTGAGGTCAGCCGGCCCAAGGAGGCTAACCTGGACAGGCCTAAGACCAAAGCTACAGGACTTTTCCCCCACCAGTCCCTCCAGACAGCACCCACGGCTATCCACTCATACTTCTCGGTGCTTGACACAGAGACGGAGAAGGAGTTACATGCTTCTTCCGCTCACTAAGGAGCTTGGACAGCTCCCCTTTCGAGGATGACGACTTATTGGATGATGTGACGGATTCCCTTATCGTCCCATTGTGTACTGCTGCTCCCCCCTCTCCCCCATCATCCCACACTCAGATCTTAAATCCCTCTACCCTCCATACCTCATCGTCTGAGACTGTGACTCTTCCACTCTTACCAGCTTGATCCCCACAGAACCTGGCGCAAATCACAGCTGGTACGGAGCCCCTAAAGCTCGACCACCCCTCTCTGGAGCTACCATCTACGTGAGAGGGTCCCGCCTAGAAGAGCTTAGACCACCGGAGTCCACAGACCAGATCGAGGACTGCGCAGCGCTCGACTAGCTGAGTATTATCATCACCAGACACACAGCCACATCCTAACCATGTACAGATCCAGT